AACAGTTCCAGACCGAACAGGAAGCAGATGAAAGCCTCCAGAGAGCTTGGACGGCGGCACGGAGCAACCCACCGCCTCTCAGCTCTTCTAATCGATCCAGGTTTGTTATAGAAAGAGGACTTTTATACAAGGAAACTCTTTCTGGTGGACACCAGGAAGACTGGCATCCTCAGAAACAGTTGGTAGTTCCAACTAAATACCGGGCCAAGCTCTTGAGCTTAGCCCATGATCACCCTAGTGGCCATGCTGGGGTGAACAGGACCAAAGACCGTTTGGGGGGATCATTCCACTGGGAGGGAATGGGCAAGGATGTTTCTACCTATGTCCAGTCTTGTGAGGTGTGCCAAAGAGTGGGAAAACCCCAAGACCAGGTCCAAGCCCCTCTCCAGCCACTCCCCATCATTGAAGTTCCATTTCAGCGAGTAGCTGTGGATATTCTGGGTCCTTTTCCGAAAAAGACACCCAGAGGAAAGCAGTACATACTGACTTTCATGGATTTTGCCACCCGATGGCCGGAAGCAGTAGCTCTAAGCAACACCAGGGCTAAAAGTGTGTGTCAGGCACTAGCAGACATTTTTGCCAGGGTAGGTTGGCCCTCCGACATCCTCACAGATGCAGGGACTAATTTCCTGGCAGGAACTATGAAAAACCTTTGGGAAGCTCATGGGGTAAATCACTTGGTTGCCACTCCTTACCACCATCAAACAAATGGCATGGTGGAGAAGTTTAATGGAACTTTGGGGGCCATGATACGTAAATTTGTAAATGAGCACTCCAATGATTGGGACCTAGTGTTGCAGCAGTTGCTCTTTGCCTACAGAGCTGTACCACATCCCAGTTTAGGGTTTTCCCCATTTGAACTTGTATATGGCCGTGAGGTTAAGGGGCCATTGCAGTTGGTGAAGCAGCAATGGGAGGGATTTACACCTTCTCCAGGAACTAACATTCTGGACTTTGTAACCAACCTACAAAACACCCTCCGAACCTCTTTAGCCCTTGCTAGAGAAAACTTACAGGATGCTCAAAAAGAGCAAAAAGCCTGGTATGATAAACATGCCAGAGAGCGTTCCTTCAAAGTAGGAGACCAGGTCATGGTCTTAAGGGCGCTCCAGGCCCATAAAATGGAAGCATCGTGGGAAGGGCCATTCACGGTCCAGGAGCGCCTGGGAGCTGTTAATTATCTCATAGCATTCCCCACCTCCAACCGGAAGCCTAAGGTGTACCATATTAATTCTCTAAAGCCCTTTTATTCCAGAGAATTAAAGGTTTGTCAGTTTACAGCCCAGGGAGGAGACGACGCTGAGTGGCCTGAAGGTGTTTACTACGAAGGGAAATGTGCTGGTGGTGTGGAAGAGGTGAACCTCTCCATGACCCTTGGGCGTATGCAGCGACAGCAGATCCAGGAGCTGTGCACTAGCTACGCGCCAACGTTCTCAGCCACCCCAGGACTGACTGAACGGGCATACCACTCCATTGACACAGGTAATGCTCACCCAATTAGGGTCCAACCTTACCGGGTGTCTCCTCAAGCTAAAACTGCTATAGAACGGGAGATCCAGGATATGTTACAGATGGGGGTAATCCGCCCCTCTGAAAGTGCATGGGCATCTCCAGTGGTTCTAGTTCCCAAACCAGATGGGGAAATACGTTTTTGCGTGGACTACCGTAAGCTAAATGCTGTAACTCGCCCAGACAACTATCCAATGCCACGCACAGATGAACTATTAGAGAAACTGGGACGGGCCCAGTTCATCTCTACCTTGGACTTAACCAAGGGGTACTGGCAGGTACCGCTAGATGAATCTGCCAAGGAAAGGTCAGCCTTCATCACACATCTCGGGCTGTATGAATTTAATGTACTCCCTTTTGGGCTGCGAAATGCACCCGCCACTTTCCAAAGACTTGTAGATGGTCTCCTAGCGGGATTAGGAGAATATGCAGTCGCCTACCTTGACGACGTGGCCATATTTTCGGATTCCTGGGCAGACCACCTGGAACATCTACAAAAAGTCCTTGAGCGCATAAGGGAGGCAGGACTAACTGTTAAGGCTAAGAAGTGTCAAATAGGCCTAAACAGAGTGACTTACCTTGGACACCAGGTGGGTAAAGGAACTATCAGCCCCCTACAGGCCAAAGTGGATGCTATCCAAAAGTGGCCTGTCCCAAAGTCAAAGAAACAGGTTCAATCCTTCTTAGGCTTGGCCGGTTATTACAGACGATTTGTACCGCACTACAGCCAAATCGCTGCCCCACTAACAGACCTAACCAAAAAGAAACAGCCAAATGCTGTTCAGTGGACCGAAAAGTGTCAGAAGGCCTTTAACAAGCTTAAAGCGACACTCATGTCTGACCCTGTACTAAGGGCCCCAGACTTTGACAAACCGTTCCTAGTAACCACGGATGCGTCCGAACGTGGTGTGGGAGCAGTTTTAATGCAGAAAGGACCTGATCAAGAATTCCACCCTGTAGTGTTTCTCAGCAAAAAACTGTCTGAGAGGGAAAGCAACTGGTCAGTCACTGAAAAAGAATGTTATGCCATTGTCTATGCTCTGGAAAAGCTACGCCCATATGTTTGGGGACGGCGTTTCCACCTGCAAACCGACCATGCTGCACTGAAGTGGCTTCACACCGTCAAGGAAACTAACAAAAAACTTCTTCGGTGGAGTTTAGCTCTCCAAGATTTTGATTTCGACATCCAACACATCTCAGGAGCTTCTAACAAAGTGGCTGATGCACTCTCCCGTGAAAGTTTCCCAGAATCAACTGGTTAAAATCGTCCTTGAGATGTGGAAAATATTGTTAGTCTTTATGTACTTGGTAGTATATTTAGAGATGCATGTGTCTTATTAACTCTGTTTTCCTAGAGCTCCAGGAAGAAATCCCAGCCAGTGTTTCACCCTAGCTGAGATTTGGGGGGCGTGTCATAAATATAAAGGGAAGGGTAAACCCCTTTGAAATCCCTCCTGGCCAGGGGAAAGCTCCTCTCACCTGTAAAGGGTTAAGAAGCTAAAGGTAACCTCACTGGCACCTGACCAAAATGACCAATGAGGAGACAAGATACTTTCAAAAGCTGGGAGGAGGGAGAGGAACAAAGGGTTTGTGTCTGTCTGTAGTCGTCTTGGCCAGGGACAGAACAGGAATGGAGGCTTAGAACTTTTAGTAAGTAATCTAGCTAGGTATGTGTTAGATTATGATTTCTTTAAATGGCTGAGAAAAGAATTGTGCTGAATAGAATAACTATTTCTGTCTGTATATCTTTTTTGTAACTTAAGGTTTTGCCTAGAGGGGTTCTCTATGTTTTTGAATCTAATTACCCTGTAAGATATCTACCATCCTGATTTTACAGGGGGGATTTCTTTATTTCTATTTACTGCTATTTTTTATTAAAAGTCTTCTTGTAAAAAACTGAATGCTTTTTCATTGTTCTCAGATCCAAGGGTTTGGGTCTGTGGTCACCTATGCAAATTGGTGAGGCTTTTTATCCAACATTTCCCAGGAGAGGGGGGGGTGCAAGTGTTGGGAGGATTGTTCATTGTTCTTAAGATCCAAGGGTCTGGGTCTGTAGTCACCTAGGCAAATTGGTGAGGCTTTTTACCAAACCTTGTCCAGGAAGTGGGGTGCAAGGTTTTGGGAAGTATTTTGGGGGGAAAGACGCGTCCAAACAGCTCTTCCCCAGTAACCAGTATTAGTTTGGTGGTGGTAGCGGCCATTCCAAGGATAACGGGTGTAATATTTTGTACCTTGGGGAAGTTTTGACCTAAGCTGGTAAAGATAAGCTTAGGAGGTTTTTCATGCAGGTCCCCACATCTGTACCCTAGAGTTCAGAGTGGGGGAGGAACCTTGACACAGCCCGTAGTAGCTCCTGGTCCCGTTCAACGTCCCAGTACCGGTCGAGTAGCGGGAGGCATGGATCGCTGGGTATACGCTGCAGATCCACCGAACGCCATCGATCCGTGAGAACCCGACCAAGTCAGTCTCACTCGGACAGGTCAGCTTCGGGATGCAGCAACCAGCACCAGTCGGACAAGAACCTCCGCTCAGCCCGGTCCTGGTCGTCCAGTACCGACCACTCCACTGGTGGCCCCGGCTCGGAGCATGTTTCCCTGACTGCGGGACAAGCCCCGGTACTGGCAGTGCCGACTATGTTATCAGCACCAAAACCTGTCCAATGGCCCCAAGTGCAGTGGCTGGTGCCATGGTATCCATGGAATCCTTGGCGGTTCACCCAACCTTCCCAGGCTGCCTGATTTGTGTTGGGAGCCTCGAAGAGGCCAGCAGCCTCGGTATCCCATCCCCCTCCAGTGCTCAAGGCTTTGGGGGTAAGACTGCACAGGTTCAGGAGGACCCAGGGCAGTAAGCTGCTGGACCACCAATGGACATGGAGGTTCCCGCAGCATCATCATCGCTGGATGAGGCTATCACGGGGCTACTTCTGCCAGTTCCTCAGGATGACGCTGAAGCACACCAGAGACTTTTGAAGAGGGTCGCTTCTAACCTGGGGCTTCAGGCAGAGGAACTGGAAGAGCCCTCGGATTCTCTGTTTGACGTCCTCTGGTCCTCAGCTCCTGCCAGGGTGGCTCTACCCCTTTGTGAAGGGGTTTCCAAAATCACTAATGCCCTGTGGCAGACCCCCTCTTCCCTGGCCCCTATCTCTAAAAGGGCCGAACACAAGTTCTTCGTCCCAACCGAAGGGCGTGAGTACTATTATTCCCACCCAGCCCCTAAGTCCCTTGTGGTTGAAGCAGTTAACCACAAGGAGAGTCAAGGACAACCTGGGCCACCCCCAAAAATAAAGACTTGAGGAGGCTGGATCTCTTCGGACATAAGGTTTATTCGTCTTCCAGCCTTCAGCTGAGAGTGGCCAACCACCAAACCCTCCTTGGCCGATATGACTTTAATTTGTGGCAAGCCATGACCAAGTTCAAAGGGTCGCTCCCTGAGGCTTCTAAGAAGGATTTCCAAGCGATCCTCAATAAGGGCACAACCGCGGCCAGGGCGGCCCTCCAGGTGGCATCGGGTGCTGCTGATGCTGCTGCCCACAACATGGCTTTTGCTGTGTCTATGTGGCGAGCCTCCTGGCTGTTTCTCTATGGGTTGTCCACCGAGGCCCAGCAGTCCTTGCAGGACTTGCCCTTTGATGGCAGTGCCCTATTTGAAGAGCAAACAGGCAGCAAGTTGCATGGCCTCAAGGACTCCCACACAACCCTGAAAACCCTGGGTCTCTACGTCCCAGCTCCAGTGTGTAAGCAGTTCAAACCACAGCAGCCTGAGAGCCAGGGTAGCCAGCCTTGGCAGGACCAGTCCCACAAACGAGCCAAGGGCTACAAGCGCCACCTGCCTCCACCCTCTACCCAGTCGGGATCGACCCGCAACAAGCAAGGAGCCAAATGGTTGCATTGAGGGTGCGCCCGAGAGCAACCTACCAAACTATTCCCGGATCCACCTTTCCCTTTTCCTCCCTGCTTGGGCAGTTGTAACTTCAGACTGCGGGGTCCTCAGCACAGTGGAGCAGGATTATATGCTACAGTTCCTTTCTATCCCCCTTTGCACCTGCCTTCCCCATCCCTTTTCAGGGACCCCTCTCCCGAGAGCCTCATAGCACAGGAGATAAAGTGGTTGCTCCAGCTGGGTGCAGTGGAAGAAGTTCCTCTCGAGTACAGGAACAAGGGGTTCTATTCCCAGTACTACTTGATCCCAAAGGCCAAGGGTGGTCTACGGCCCATCTTGGATCTGCAAGCCCTAAAGATGCTAAAATTCCGCATGGTCTCTCTGGCTTCTATTATCCCCTTTCTGGATCCGGGAGACTGGTATGCCGCCCTCGGCTTGAAGGACTCATACTTCCACATAGTGATCTTTCAAGGACACAGACTCTTCCTCCGGGTTACAGTGGGACCCCCACCACTTCCAGATTACAGTCCTCCCATTCAGTCTGGCGATGACACCGAGGGTGTTTACCAAGTGCATGTCAGTGGCAGTGGCTTACCTCAGGCGCTGGGGCATCCAGATCTACCTGTACCTTGACGACTGGCTTGTCAAGGGTAGCTCCAGGTCTCAAGTCTAGAGGGATGTTGTGATACTTCAAGCCACGTGCTGCTCTCTGGGCCTACTGGTAAATGACAAAAAGTAAACGTTAGTGCCAGTGCAGAGGGTAGAGTTTATCAGAGCTGTCCTCTACTCGACCTGCGCCAGAGCGTTCCTGCCACTGGAAAGATTCCATACGTTGACAAACTCATCACGGAAGTCTCCGCATTCCCTCTGACTACAGCCAGGGTCTGTCTGTGCCTGCTGGGCCACGTGGTCCACCATGCCAGGCTCTGGATGCGCCCCTGCAACAATGGCTGGGGATCGTCTATTCCAAGTCCCGAGACCCCTGGAAAAGATAGTTACCATTTCCCAGGCGATACTTACCTTGCTGCGATGGTGGACCAACTGGAGGACAGTCCTGGAGGGGGTTCCGTTCGACAACCCTCCTTACTCCATCAAGCAGATGTCAGATGCCTCGGACTTCAGCTGGGGTGTGCATCTTGGCATTCTCCAAACTATGGGGATGCGGTCCCCTGAGGAGGCGTAGTTGCACATAAATGTCAAAGAGCTCCGAACAGTCCGGATGGCATGCAGAGTCTTCCTGCCCCACCTGTTGGATAAGGTGGTACAAATCCTGATGAACAACAGAGCCTCGGTGTTCTACATCAACAGGCAAAGGGGAGCACATCCATTGACTCTCTGCCAAGAGGCATTCCATTTCTGGGACTTCTGCATCAGCCACAAAATCCACCTGGAAGCTCGTCACCTTCTTGGCATCAGGAATATGCTGGTGGACCAGCTCATCAGGCAATTCTCCTCTCACCACGAGTGGTCACTCCATACAGAGATAGCCTGCACAATCTTCCAAAGGTGGGGAACTCCCAAAGTGGACCTGTTTGCTACCAGACAGAACAGGATATGCCACCGGTTTTGCTCAAGGCAAAGTCTGAGCAATGGCTTCCTCCGGGAAGCCTTTTATACACATTCCCTCCAATTCCACTCATCAGCATGGCCCTGGCAAGGATCAAGAGAGACAAAGCCCAGATTGTCATGATCACCCCGGCGTGGCCTCACCAGCATTGGTTCGGCACGCTCATGAACCTGACAGCAGCCCCTTTCTGGGCCCCGCCCAACCGACTGGACTTGCTGTCACAGGACTACAGTTGGCTTTTACACCCCAACCTTGGCTCCCTCCCCCTCTCAGCGTGGCTGAACCCAGAGGAGTGGATGAAGCGTTAATGTTTAGCTATTCCACCTGGAAGCAGGCGGGGCACACCCTGACTGTTTCGTAGAAGCAATGCACACATTGCTCTATCCAAGGACAAGGGCTAGATATGAACCATGAGAACTTGATTGTTTCGACAGCAACTGTGGGAGGCTTTCTTAGCCTGGGCTCAAGGCCTGAGAACCAGGATTGTAGTAGATAGAGGATGGTAACTAAGTATATGAATTAACGTCATACATTCCTTTGTGTAGCAGTGTGTAATGCTTAGGGGGAGAAATATAATAAAAGGAGAAGGTGGAAGGCGGGGGGGGCAGAACGGCCCGTCTCAGCTGACCAGCCTGTTTGCTTGCATAAAGCTGTGTTCTGTCTCATCACTGAACCGCCACAACTGGCGCCCAAACGTGGGGCCCTCAGCACTCACCTCGCCCGGCAAGGGTTTCAGACGCGTCACTCATCCGCTTCGTGGATCCCGGTGAGTATTTTTCATTGTGGTAAGTATGGGAAGCTCCCTCTCTGCTTTGCAAGTGCAACACCGCAATGAGCTGCAGTATTTGCTGCGTAAGGCTCAGCATGACTGCCCGGCTCGAGCACTTACTCTCCTGCTACAGGAGGTGCGTGCCAAGTGCCCGTGGTATCCTGAAGCCGGAAGCCTTAAGCTAGCGGACTGGGAGCGATTGGGCTAGACATTGCACGAAGAGCCTCGGGCGCCCGTGCAGGCTTTACATGCCTGGCACCTCTGCCGCGACGTGGTACAGCGTGTCGCCTCCGACCGGCCCTCCCTCGCGAGGCTGGTGATCTCGCCACGCCCATCCGCTCCTGCAGCCATCCCCCCTCCTGGCGATGCGACGCAGCGTGTCGCCTCGGAAAGGCCCTCTCCAGCACCAACAGAGGGGCTGCCGATCCCGCCACCCCCGTTCGCTCCTGCAGCCATCCCTCCCCCTGCTTCTCCCCCAGTGCCTCTATTACCACCGCCTCCCTGGCCTTCCCCACCGGAGCCGGTGTGTGATCACCCTCCCCCCGTGGGGCCCCCCGGAGGGTCTCTGCATCTGCTCAGAAGCTTTCGCTGGTGCAACAAATGGTTCACGCAGCGAAAGCTCGATCAGATCTTACAGCGGAGGAGCTGGCTGATCTGGTCTCCGTTTGCCCGGTGACCTGGCAGAATGATGACCAGGGCAACCCCGTGGGCACCTGGACCACTTTGCCATACTCGGTGGTTAGAGAGGTAAAGAAAGCAATTCGTGAATTTGGCCTGACTAGCACCTTTGTGCGTGGTCTCATTGAAGGGATGGGTACTGGGTACTCCCTAATCCCTGAGGATTGGAAAACGCTGCTGCACATGATGATGTCACCCAGTCAGTATGTTATTTGGCTTAGTGAGTATCGGCAGATGGCAGAACGCCAAGCTCAGGTACATAGAGAGCGCGGTATCATTTATGAGCATTTGGCAGGGGAGGGCCTGTTTGCTACTATTGAGATGCAGTCTCAACTCCCTCAGGCTGTCTTCCCCATTATTTCCACCTGTGCCCAGCATGCTTTCAAGAAGGTCCCGGATTCAGGCAAGCCTACCAAAAGCTTTGTCAGTATCCGTCAGGGTGCCTCAGAGTCCTTTTTGGATTTTACCAACAGATTGCAGGAGGCTATCCTCCGACAGGTGGATAACACTGAGGCAGCTCACGAGCTCCTGTTAAAATTGGCAGTTGAAAATGCAAACGAGGATTGCCGCCGTGCTCTCCAGGCAGCACAAGCCTCTGGTATTTTAGAGCTCTCAGACATGCTGCGGGCGTGCCAGAACATTGGCACACAAGCCCACAAGGCTGGAGTTCTGGCTGCCGCCCTCAGAAAAACTGGGAAGGAGGGGAAGCGTTGTTACCGCTGTGGTAAGGAGGGTCATTTTCAGCGGGAGTGCCGCTCATCTAAGGCACCAGCCCGACCCTCAAAGAAGTGCCCCAAGTGTGGGAAAGGTTATCACTGGGCTAATCAGTGTCGTAGCGGGTCGGGAAACCGCGCGACGGGTCCCCCCCGAACCCAGGGCCAAACGGGGGGGTTTCCTACTCAGGCAATCGCTCCTCTGCCTTGGAATCCGTAGACTCTATGAGGGCGGCGACTGCTGGAAGTGCAGGGCTTGATTTGATCATGCAGGAGGACACTGACTTTCGGCTGCCAGGGGAGGTCTGTGCCATACCTACACAGGTGACGGGACCTCTCCCTGCCGGCTTTGTAGGTCTTGTTCTCCCTCGCTCACATGCTGGGAAACAGGGCTTTTTTGTCATTCCAGGAGTCATTGATGCTGATTACACTGGCGTTATTAAGGTTCAGGTGTGGACTCATCTTCCACAGTCGCTCCCGCGTGGACGGTCAATTGCACAATTGATTTTAGTCCCCTATCAGGTGCCAGCTGCCGAGGATCGAACTCGGGGCGGAGGCGGCTTTGGATCGACGTTGTCTCACTCGCCGTCTCACAGCGCGTCTTCTCCACTTGTTGCTCTGACAATGTCAGTCCGCCCCTCGAAGCCTCAGTTAACACTTCTCTTAGATGATGTTCCTTTTACAGGGCTGGTGGACACTGGAGCTGACGTTACGGTGATTCGTGATCTGGAGTGGCCGGTTAGTTGGCCTACGGTTCCTTCTAAAGCATTGTGGGGGATCGGGGGTAGTAAACCTGGGCGCCAAAGTTTGTCTTGGGTCACGGTCTCTAAACCGGGAGGCCGTACCCTTGCTACTATCCGCCCTTTTGTGCTCCCTGTCCACCTCAATATTTGGGGCCGTGATTTACTTACAAAGTTAGACACCACCCTCGATATTAACATCTGATGGCCCAAAACCCTCCCTCACCCACCGTGCCCTCCGCCTTACCCTTGGTATGGCAATCCTTAGAGCCCGTATGGATTGATCAGTGGCCCCTCCCTCTAAAAAAGCTAAAAGCACTTCATTCGCTTGTGCAGCAGCATTTGCAAGCACAGCGACTGGAGAGCTCCGCTAGTCCCTGGAACACCCCGGTGTTTGTTATTCAGAAAAAATCGGGTGCTTGGCGGCTGTTACATGATTTAAGGGAAATAAATAAACGCATCCAACCTATGGGCCCCTTGCAATTTGGCTTGCCAAATCCAAATTTAATTCCTCAAACCGATCAACTTTGTGTGCTGGATTTAAAAGATTGTTTTTTTTTACCATCCCCCTTTGCCCTCAGAATTAGCTGCTGTTATTTTGGCCTTTCAACCTTTTGCTGATTGTCCCTTTAATTTAATTGTGGATACCTATTATGTTTATTAGGAAATTGATTATTTACCCCTTGCCCTCATTACCCCTCAGGTTGATGCAGACCTCCTTCGCCTGTTTTTGTTTTTGCAGCACCTTTTTGCCACTTGTCATTTCCCTTACTTTGTTGCTCATATTTGCAGTCATTCCCCTCTGCCTGGGCCACTCACTGAGGGTAGTGCACGCGCGTTGCGTGGTCAGGTAAATTCCCTTTTTTCTGACCCCATTGAAAGCCATGCCTTTTTTCAGCAGTCTGCCTCTGTTTTGGCCCGGCAGTTTCACATTCCTGCTGATCATGCACGTTCCATTGTTCGTTCCTGCCCCCACTGTGCTGCTGCTGCTCCTACTTTTTCTTATGCCGTTAACCCCCGAGGTACCGCAGCAAATCAGCTGTGGCAGATGGATGTTACTCATGTGCCACAATTCCGCCCCTATTTGTTTTTACATGTTTCCGTTGATACTTATTTAGGCTTTCTTTTGGGCTTCCCCACAATGTGGGGAAGCCACTAACAAAGTTATTCACCATTTGCTGGCCTGCTTTTTTGTTATGGGTCGCCCCTGCCAAATTAAAATAGATAATGCCCCAGCCTACTGCTCTGCAGCCCTCTCCACCTTTTGTGCCCGCTGGGACGTCCGTCTTACACACGGAATCCCTTATAATTTCATGGGCCAAGCCATTGTTGAACGTGCCAATCGCACACTCAAAACCTTGCTAGATAAACAATTAAAACAAGGGGAGCTGCGTCTCCGAACCTTAGGAGACATTTAACAACAAATGCATATCCTCTTGTTTACTTTAAATAATTTAACACTGAATGCAGATCAGCAGACCCCTGCGGATCGGCATTTTCACTAATCTGAGGTACTGGAAAGACCACGTGTCTTTTATTGTCAGCTGCCCGATCCACAGTGGCTGGGCCCAGTGCCTCTAATCACTTGGGGTCGGGGATATGCTGCTGTGTCTCTCCCTGCAGGACCGTTGTGGGTTCCAGCTCGGTGTGTGCGACCGGCACTTAAACAACATGGCATGGCACCAGGGACTGTCGAATCCCATACCAGAGTTTCAGCTGACCTTGGAGGAGACCGCGTTGCCCCCCGAGTCGACAACGACGGGACGGAAACGGAGGAGGCGTAGCGTCCCAAGCCAGCCCGTGACATGGGGAGCAGTAAAAGCATTGGTCGCCGCGGCTCAACGAAGACTGGCAGCAGATCAACAGCCAGAGACTCCTGAGACTTTGTTTGTGGCGATTCTCGCCCAAATCACTGCTAATTCTGTGATGATTGTGTGCCTTTTGTGCCTGCTATTTCCTGTAGGGGTTGGCTCAGAAGCGCCTCCCCCGTTATAAGCCCGAATGACATATAACATATGGGAAAGATTGGCTTCAATAGCAAATGTTACCCACTTTTGTTTATTTAATTTTGTAGCAGCCGGAGATTTGTTAGGTACATGCCTTATTCCAGTATGTCATCACCCTGGGGAGATGGAGAATAAGACACTGTTCTCTGCTTATGTTAATTTTTCCTCCCAGTACTCTAGCATGGCTAATTGGGGCCCGGCCAACTATATTCTGCCTCGCACGGCTATATCCCTCTACACACCGTACCCGGCCGGGGCTCACAATGTCACCTGTGCGCGTGTAGTTAACTGCACTAGTACAAAGGTGCCCTTGGGCTGTCGAAAAATTTCTCAACCCCTTTTAAATTGTTCCCATGCTGTTAATGTTTCATATAATTATGGCCATATCATCCTACCATCAGGATGGGTTTTTACTTGCGGTTCATAGAATATAATCATAGAATATAAGGGTTGGAAGGGACCCCAGAAGGTCATCTAGTCCAACCCCCTGCTCGAAGCAGGACCAATTCCCACACTTCACGCACCTTTAATTATATTCCTGCAAATTTAAGTGATGGCACCCTTTGCTGTCTTAGTAGAATGATACTTATATTGCCTTTTGCTGGTTATAATTGTAGTAAAAGAAGTGTACCCCTTTTAGATGATTATATTGCAGATGTTGAGCTTTTGGTTATTCTGTGTTTGAAATCATTGGGCTTATTTTTTTGCTGCTGCTGTGTACAATGTATTCTTTCCTTGTTAAGACTTTGTAAAATTTTGCCCTGGAAAGCTCCCCAGGTTATGTCCTTGTCTGTCTGGGAGTTAAATAGCATGACAAAACAAATTGACGGCTGCCATGAGATGGCCAAATATCAATAAATAAAAAACGGGGAGATGAAGGGTTAATGTTTAGCTATTCCACCTGGAAGCAGGCGGGGCACACCCTGACTGTTTCGTAGAAGCAATGCACACATTGCTCTATCCAAGGACAAGGGCTAGATATGAACCATGAGAACTTGATTGTTTTGACAGCAACTGTGGGAGGCTTTCTTAGCCTGGGCTCAAGGCCTGAGAACCAGGATTGTAGTAGATAGAGGATGGTAACTAAGTATATGAATTAACGTCATACATTCCTTTGTGTAGCAGTGTGTAATGCTTAGGGGGAGAAATATAATAAAAGGAGAAGGTGGAAGGCGGGGGGGGGCAGAACGGCCCATCTCAGCTGACCAGCCTGTTTGCTTGCATAAAGCTGTGTTCTGTCTCATCACTGAACCGCCACAAGTGGACCTGTTTGGAAGGGGTCCAACGGGTCCTCCTGGAAAGTAGGAACCCTCAACTAGACTGACTTACCTGGCCAAGTGGAGGAGGTTTTCCCACTGGTCCCACAGTGGGATCTTAACTTAGTCCTCTCTAGACTCACTGGCCCACCCTTTGAACCGCTGGGTTCCTGCTTCCTTTCCCACCTGTCATAGAATCATAGAATATCAGGGTTGAAAGGGACTTCAGGAGGTCATCTAGTCCAACCCCCTGCTCAAAGCAGGACCAATCCCCAACTAAATCATCCCAGCCAGGGCTTTGTCAAGCCTGACCTTAAAAAATTCTAAGGAAGGAGATTCCACCACCTCCCTAGGTAAGGCATTCCAGTGTTTCACCACCCTCCTAGTGAAAAAGTTTTTTCTAATATCCAACCTAAACCTCCCCCACTGCAACTTGAGACCATTACTCCTTGTTATGTCATCTGCTACCACTGAGAACAGTCTAGATTCATCCTCTTTGGAACCCCCTTTCAGGTAGTTGAAAGCAGCTATCAAATCCCCCCCCTCATTCTTCTCTTCCGCAGACTAAACAATCCCAGTTCCCTCAGCCTCTCCTCATAAGTCATGTGTTCCAGTCCCCTAATCATTTTTGTTGCCCTCTGCTGGAAATTTTCCAATTTATCCACATCCTTCTTGTAGTGTGGGGCCCAAAACTGGACACAGTACTCCAGATGAGGCCTCACCAATGCCGAATAGAGGAGAACAATCACGTCCCTCGATCTGCTGGCAATGCTCCTACTTATACATCCCAAAATGCCATTGGCTTTCTTAGCAACAAGGGCACACTGTTGATTCATATCCAGCTTCTCGTCCACTGTAACCCCTAGGTCCTTTTCTGCAGAACTGCTGCCTAGCCATTCGGTCCCTAGTCTGTAGCGGTGCATGGGATTTTTCTGTCCTAAGTGCAGGACTCTGCACTTGTCCTTCTTGAACCTCATCAGATTTCTTTTGGCCCAATCCTCCAATTTGTCTAGGGCCCTCTGTATCCTATCCCTACTCTCCAGCGTATCTACCTCTCTTCCCAGTTTAGTGTCATCTGCAAACTTGCTGAGAGTGCAATCCACACCATCCTCCAGATCATTTATGAAGATATTGAACAAAACTGGCCCCAGGACCGATCCTTGGGGCGCTCCACTTGATACCGGCTGCCAACTAGACATGGAGCCATTGATCACTACCCATTGAGCCCGACAATCTAGCCAACTTTCTCTCCACCTTATAGTCCATTCATCCAGCTCATACTTCTTTAACTTCTTTCATGGAAGGTTGCGTTCCTGGTGGTGATGACGTCGGTGAAACGGGTCTCCAAAATTAAAGCCTTGACCTCAGAGCCTCCATACATGGTGTTCTGCAAAGATAAAGTTCAGCTGCAGCCCCACCTGGCCTTCCTGCCAAAGGTGGTGTCCCCCTTCCATATGAACCAGGACATCTTCCTCCCAGGGTTCTGTCCCAAAGAGCACAAGACCAGTGAAGAGAGGCATCTCCACGCCCTGGATGTCTGGAGGGCCTTGGCTTTTTACTTGGAGCATACCTGCCTTTCCATAAATCAAACCAATTCCTCATTGCTACAGCGGATAGGAGGAAGGGTCACCCAGTGTCCTCGCAGAGGATTTCCAATTGGATTACCTCGTGCATAAGGACCTGTTACCACCTGGTGGGTGTTCTGCTGCTGCCGATTGTCAGAGCCCACTTGAAATCGCAGGGGTCTTTGGTGGCCTTCCTGGCACACATCCCTATCCAGGACAGCTGTAGAGCCGCAACGTGGTCCTCTGTCCACACGTTTACCACTCATTATGCCATCACTCAGCAAGCCAGGGACGACACTGAGTTCAGCAGAGCTGTGTTGCAATCTACACGTATGTGAACTCCTATCCACCTCCAGGGGTACTGTTTTGGAGTCGCCTAATATAGAATGGACATGAGCAAGCACTTGAAGAAGAAAAGACAGTTACCTTTTCCGTAACTGGTGTTCTTCGAGATGTGTTGCTCATGTTTATTCCTCAATGCGCCCTCCTTCCCCACTGTAGGAGTTTCCGGCAAGAGGGAACTGATGGTGGGGGGAGCTGGCGGTGCCCCTTACACCGTGCCATGAGGGCTCCTCTCCAGGGGGTGCTAGAGCCGGTCCCCTATGGATACTGCTGAGGGAAAAACTTCCAGTACCAGTTCATGTGGCGAGCACACACACCTAATATGGAATGGACATGAGCAACACATCTTGAAGAACACCAGTTATGGAAAAAGTAACTGTCTTTTACTCCAGGGCTGTCTGATATCACTAGCAAGAAGCGAAATGTTCATGAGAAGCAATTTTGTTTTGTTTTGTTTTTTCCTACATTTTTCCCAGCTGGATCAAGAGAGCTCCAGACAACTTTGCTACAATGCTAATTGAAAATGGCTTTTATTGCACAGTGGCATGTGACCTTTCTCAGCAAAACAGAAACCAGCTTGAAATGCACAGTGAACAGCAGCCCGATGAGCTTCAGAAATAGCTACAAAGCAGTGGTTCCCAGCCTTTCTGAGCTGGAGCCTCCCACTAATTACAGTGAATTGGCCTGTGACTGTCCCTCCCATCAACATGTTCTATCCCCGCTTCTGTTTCTTCCTTCCTGTTTGGTGCTTGCTCTCCATGAAACCGTCTGCTCTTGCTCCCCTCCCCCATTTACTGACAATCAATTAAAACATTTAAAATTCAGTTGTAAAGCAGCTGGGGTTCATGCTCTTCCGCAGCTAGCTAGTCACTAGAATCAGGTAGCACAGAGACAGTTTGAAGTGACCCTCAACAGAGCACAGCATATGTAGTAAGACTTCAATACTAATGCCAGGAACTAGTATCAGAGCAATTATAATCACAGTGGGAACATTGTGAATAACATAGCAAAGGTAATAAATATAATAAAATTAATTGAATTAGGCTAGTTTTAGATGCTCCTGTGAGTTGTTACTGAGCCAGAGAGTGAGAGAGAATGGCCCTATAGTCTGGTGGTTGGGGCCCTAACCTGGGAGGTGGCAGACCTAGGATCCACTACATTGATTCCAATTGCTCTTTAATTATTTATTCAAACTGGAACAGCTTCAATAGGAGAGATTGAGGGAGCCTTACATCAGATAAGCCCATAGCTCTGTGGTTAGAGCAGGCTCTATGCTCCTCACTGGTGGGAGATGTCCTGTTCAAATCTGTTTTTCCCCAGTCAGGCAGAGGGGGGAATTGAACCAAGGTCTTCCACAGCCTGGATGAGCCTGCGAAACATTGGGATAAAAGTTATCAGGTGGGTATCACCTCCTCTGGCTATTCAGCAAGGAGTGAGGCAGAGCCTAACTCATTCTCATAAGAAATGTCTTAGGTCCCTAAGCCACCTGACACCAGGAGACAGGTGCCTGTCTCTGCTAGCAAGCCACAACTGGGAACCCACCTGAGAGGGGTGAGACTTAGCACTCACCCCTGTCATTAGCATCTCTCAGTGGCCAACTTAGGTGGCTCCCCACCTAGCATGCTGGCTTCTGTGGACTGCATTCCTAGGCACCTAGCTCTCCCCATTTGTTGTATAGGGAGTGTAACTCAGGCTTTGTGACACAAATTGTTCCAGTGATTTTTCTAGGCACCTGAAAATCAGATGGCACAACACTGTGTGTTGCAAAACCCAGGTCCCTGTGGTGATCCAGGCCTAAGTGCTTACAGCTATTAAAAAGAGGAACAGAGACACTTACAGCTGATTAAGCTTCTTTCTAATGTCTCAGGGGCAGAAGTTCCCCTGGTGAGGAAGAATGGCTTGACAAAGCCCAGACTGGGATGATTTAGTTGGGATTGGCCCTGCTCTGGGCAGGGGGTTGGACTAGATGGCCTCCAGAGGTCCCTTCCAACTCTGTTATTCTGTGATTCTATGAATGGAGACACTTCTCTGAGCTGCAAATGGCTCCCTTTTGTCAATGTAGGCAACTATAGATGCATTGGTACCTGCCTACCAGACCTAAGAGTGAGGCTGATGGACCTCACCAGTGTGACTGGAACGATGACTTTGACAAGAATAGCCCAGCGATACAGGATTTAGTTGGTTGTGGTAGGAAACGCTTACCACACCACAGCGGTTGGAAAAAGAGGATACAGAGAAACAGTGGTACTCAGTGCTTTTGAACAAGGAACTTGGAAGTAGAGCCCTGCAGCAAGCTGGGGATCCCACAGGATCTGCTGCCATAATAGCAAGAGCGGGTGGGAGCAGGATTAAAGAATAATCCCACACAAGGCTCTACTTGAAAGTTTTGAAAATGTTTTCCTACGTCTTATGGACCAGCACAACTACAACACTTGTTACAGCTTTGCATCCCCTCCCTTGTGTCCTCTTCAGGGGCTTGATCCTGCAAGATGCTGGGCACCCTAAACTTCCATTGCATTCAGTGAGCATTGGGAGCACTTTAAAGTCTCAAGCCTAAGAGCGTACCTTCCTGTAAATAAAGTCGTTTACATGATACAGCATCCTGTATCTACATCATCCCATTTGTCTCTCACCACATTAAAAACATGCAGCTATTCCTGATCACTCTTTAGGAGTTCAACATATACACTGCATGTAAATGTGGTACAAGCAAATCTGACAAAGGCCTTCTTAATTGCAAATTGCTTTCCACGGCTGAAGAATTAGTCTAAGTGCTTAAAAAAAAAATGCTGATTGGCTTAGGGCCCTGAGTGACCTGGCTAATTTTGAGAGAAAATTCTTTCAATTTAATCACAGGAGAGAAAACTCTGTGCATGATTTCCAAGCCCCGTTGAAGTAAATGGCAAGCCTCCTTGATCTTAGTCTTTTTGGAGATGTATGACCAAATTATCATATATTACATTGGTAAATATGTACAAAATATTGCTGATAATCCTATGGGACATACCCAATAGTGGAAAGTTAATTCCTTATTGCTTGCTAATACATTTATTTCTTTCTACCCGCATTAACAAAATATTCAAAGATCAATAGTGAAATGTTTAGAATTTGACATTTAATTGTCATCTTAGTTTTTATCTTGTGAACTGCATTGTTGCCCCTTATTGTTATGATATTTCAATTAGTTTTGTTATGCTGGACAATGCCCCAAGAATGATGGTGAGGAAGAGGGATACGGGGGATTTAATTGTCACTTAGTTTTTATCTTGTGAACTGCAACTTTAGGCTGTTATGGGTCATTGACTGCAATAATTTGGAGGAAGGGGAAGTTTACGGCTGATCTGTGCTAACTGTATTCTTTTAGTATTATTCCTGAGGTGAGAAAACACTGTAAGTTGCACTTTCATAATAAAGAGATTGCACTACAGTACTTGTATGAAGTGAACTGAAAAATACTGTTTCTTGTTTGTCATTTTTACAATACAAGTATTTGTAATAAAAAATAATATAAAGTGACCACTGTACACTTCGTATTGTGTTGTAATTGAAATGAATATATTTGAAAACGTAGAAAAAATTCAAACAATATTTAATAAATTTCAGTTGATATTCTATTGTTTAACAGTGCGATTAATCACAATTAATGTTTTTTAGTTAATCACATGAGTTAACTACAATTGACAGCCCTAATTAAAATTCAAAATGACCCGGACAAACCGGAGAAATGGTCTGAAGTAAATAGGATGAAATTTAATAAGGACAAATGCAAAGTACTCCACTTAACAAGGAACAATCAGTTGCACACACACAAAATGGGAAATGACTGTCTAGGAAGGAGTACTGCAGAAAGGGATCTGGGGAGTCATAACAGATCACAAGCTAAACATGAGTCAACAGTGTAACACAATTGAAAAAAAAGGAAACATCATTCTGGGATATATTAGCAAGAGTGTTGTAAGCAAGATACAAGATGTAATTCTTCTGCTCTACTCTGCGCTGACCTGAACTGGAGTATTGTGTCCAGTTCTGGGTGCCACATTTCAGGAAAGATGTGGACAAATTGGAGAAGGTCCAGAGAAGAGCAACAAAATGATGGAAGGTCTAGAAAACATGAGGGAAGATTGAAAAAAATGGGTTTGTTTAGTCTGCAGAACAGAAGACTGAGGGGGCTGGGGGGGGGAAGAGAGACATAACGGTGAATAAAATGTTGTTACAAGGAGGAAGGAGATACATTAGTCTTGTTAACATCTGCGGATAGGACAAGAAGCAATGGGCTTAAATTGCAGCAAGGGAGATTTAGGTTGGACATTAGGAAAAACTTCTTAACTGTCAGGGTAATAAAACATTGGAATAAATTGCCTAGGAAGGTTGTGGAATCACTGTCATTGGAGACTTTTAAGAGCAGGTTGGACAAACACCTGTCAGACGGTCTAGATAATACTTAGTTCTGCCTTGAGTGCAGGGGACTGGACTAGATGACCTTTCAAGATCCCTTCCAATCCTACAATTCTATAATACAGGACACTAATCGGCTGAAAGTGTTTGATTTTAAAATGTAGTTTATTAAATAAATAATTTGACCAAGACTGATGTGAGATATGTCCTCTTCTTTATAAAAGAAGCAGCCTAATTACTATAGGTTAGAAGGCCAGGTGGATAAGAGAAGAATTCATTATCACAAATTCTTTCCAGCACAGGAAATTCAAGATTATTACAGTTCATTGACATAAAGTAATTGGTGTAATTCATCTTGTTGGATAGCGCTCCAGTATGCTTCAGTAATCCTTAATCCTTTGTGCTTAACAGTTTTTTGCCTGCACTAACAATTAGTGCTGCACAAAATTATTGCAGTCAATGACCCATAAGAGCCTAAAGTTGCAGTTTACAAGATAAAAACTAAGATGACAATTAAATCCCCCGTAACCCCCTTCCTCACCATCATTCCTGGGGCATTGTCCAGCATAACAAAACTAATTGAAATATCATAACAATAAGGGACAACAATGGCCATAATGACCCTTCCAAATAAAAAACCTCCAAGTTCTCATTCTCCAGTAGGGAGAGGGAGGTGTGGAGTATTTCCAAGGGCCCACTGCAGCAAAAAAGACTTTCCTGCCCAAGTATGTCTCAGTATGGAATCCCACATGGTCTCAGAGGCCAGGTAAGTTGAAGGAAGTGATATCACCTAGAGGCAGGGCATTAAAAAAACTCCATTGCCCATTGCCCACTTAGTCCATCCTGGTAGAAGAGGCCAATGCAGGGCAGGCTTAACGCCCACAATTGCTCAGGCCAGTTGAACATGCGCAGACTGCAACAGCGTCTAAGACAGGCCTACCACTTGCAAACAAAGTTACAAAATTTGAGTCATACACCAATATGCATATGTGGTGGTAGGCAGCTATAGGGTACAGCCTACACAGATTCACTTCAGTTCCATGTCCAGCATGGCTTTCAGCAGAAAAAGTGATGCTAAGAATCCTAACCTCATTACAGCTGAGTCAGTCTCAGGAAGTGGGGGTTTTTTTTTGCCCCAACCTGCCACCAGGTAGCCACCAATTGCCTACGTTCTTGTAGACACCTGAACAAGGAGCTCTTGCAGATAGATTTGAAGGAGAGGGTAGTGGCCTTGTGAATCAGTTTAAAAATGGTGATAGAAGATGTGAACAAAAAAGCAGCTGATGGCTGGTATAATCAACAGGTCAGAAGGTTTGTTACAATAAGAGAGAGGAACAGATAAGTGGAAGGGGCAGAGCTGTGAAGGACCTTGAAAAGGAGGTCATGAAGCTTGAACTTGATGTGGTGGAAAACAAAGGAGCCAGTAGAGGTGGGGGTACCATATGGTGGGGGTACGATATGGTCAGAGCACTATCCCAGGAAGATACCTTAGCAGCTGTGTTATTTATGGACTGAGGAGCATGATATGGGCATCAAACCCAACCAGGAAGCAGCTCCCAACTGCGTGATCACCTTTTTTAACAATGCCATTGTTTCTGAGGAGCACAACCTGTTGAGCAACACTGGTCAGGGACAGGCAGGTCCAGATGCAACCTGGGCCCAGCCTCTTGCGAGCCTTGAACATTAAGACTAGAACCTGGGATTTGATGTGGTATTCAATGAGGAGCCAGTGGCATCTAGTGCATGAGGGCAATAGACTCATACCATCCTGTGTTGCTTTGCAGCTCCACTGCTGTATTTGCAACCAGCCAACTCTTTATATCAATTAGGCATTCGCAGAGATGTGCAGCAGTAGTGAGCATGGAGGCCAGGAATGCCTGGCTTCCTGTGGCCAACTTGGCATCTGATAAGGTAAACTATAGCTTTCTGGCAAGAGATGGATGAAAGGTGGTGATATAACTTTGCTGTTGTTTTACCATCCTGTCTTGGCAGCTGTTGCTACTGGGGAATGAAGTGGCAGTTAAGAGTCTATGAAGAACCAAATACTGCAAATAACCATGAGACCAAAAACCCTTCTTAGCTTAGAGTGACATGATTTTTGGGTAGGAGGATTGTATCATGGTTTTGAAGATTTCCTGAGAGTATGTTATTCCATAACTGCCTACAGTGGTGAGTTTGCTGCACCTTCCTCTGAAGCTCTACAACATCCACTACTGGAGCCTAGATGCAGAGCTGGACTGATCCAATATGTGACTAGTTTCAATTTTGAATACAAGAATGCAAATTAAATCTGATGTTCTACACCCTGTTCTGTGCAGAAGTTAAAGGGGTTTTTGGATTTAAACATGCACAATGAAACTGATTTCTGAAAAAGCCATGATGTATTAGAACCAATATTAATTATCATACTGTTTTCATCATGCTCTATTTGTCCCTGGAGTAGAAAACAGTTGAAATGTTCATTTTCACAGTATCTACTCTGTTGGATCAATCTAATTCAGTATTGACAACAATGATAAAATGATGGTTCAGCATCTACTGTAGTCATCCTACAAGAAATGAAACACCTTGCTCTATGACAATACAATTCTGAGGTGTATTAACAGAGTGTTGCATGTAAGACAAAGGAGGTAACTGTCCCACTCTACTCGGCACTGCTAAGACCTCAGCTGGAGTATTGTGTCCAGTGCTAGGTGTCACACTTTAGGACAGATGTGGATAAACTGGAGTGTCCAGAGGAGAGCATATATAAAAATGATAAACAGTTATGAAAACCTCACCTGTGAGGACAGGTTAAAAAGCTGGGCAAATTTCATCTTGAGAAAAGAAGATTGAGGGGGCACCTGAAAAGTCTTCACATTTTAAGGGCTGTTATAGAGGATTGTGATCAACTGTTGTCCATGTCAGCTAAAGGTAGGACAAAAAGTAATGGGCTTAATCTGCAGCAAGGGAGATTTAGGTTAGATATTAGGAAAAACTTTCTAACTATAAGGGTAATTAAGCTCAGGAATAGGCTTCCAAGGGAGGGTGTAGAATCCCCATCATTGGAGGTTTTTAACACGTTGGATAAATACCTGTCATGGATGGTCTAGGTTTACTTGGTCCTGCTTCAGCAGAGGGCTGGGATTGATAACCTCTTGAGGTCCCCTCCAGACCCACATTTCTGTGAATATTCATCCACCATTTCAATGCAGCTGCTTTCAAGTAAAATGCAAAAGATATTCTGTGCCAGAAACTTTCAGAAGAGGAAGAACAACTTCAGCAACTATATTCTGTCTACCTAAAATTCCTCTGGTAGTTGGAGTTGGAATTGGCCAGGACACTGGAGCAAATCTCTCTTATGCAAAACTGTCATTGGTTCTTCAGTGAACACAAGTGGCAAGAACTCATTTTAAAGCACGCCTCTACTCTGAAAAAGAACTGAAGAAATGGCATTGTGGGATTTTTTGTTTGTCTCCCACTGACTGTCGTCATCAAATTTTCCAGCCCTGTAAACTTGGTGTAGGACCTGAAAGTCTAGCTGGGTTCTTGCCTTTTCACATACATCCTTATGTAAAGCCAACTGCAATAAAAAATGAATCCTTTAATTGGTTTCAGCTCCGGCTCATATATCACCAACAAAAGAGATGTTGCAGGCCAAGTTATGCTCCCAGTTACATTTCTGCAATCCCAATGGAATCATAGTTTAACCACCACCATCTTTATTACACAAGGAAAGAATCCAACTGGATTTTCAGATCCTAGGATAAGTTTTGCAGGTGTGACAGTTAGAAAAGCCACTTATAAACTGACAAAAACTACATATGGGAGCTATTAAGGGACAGCATACATGGGATCCCCTCAAAGCCTTTTTACAGTACATTTTCAGAGTAGAACAGTTCTTCAAGGGTCTTCTTAGAGAGTGCATAGATGCACAATCATTAGACATTGGAAAAATCAATTTCATTTCATGGAGCACATGGGTTACTCTCTGTAAGCCAGGTACTGGCTAGACTTAACACTGCTGAGCTTAGAATGTGACCTTGCCAGATATAACTAAAGTCTATAACTGTCTTTCTGGAAAGCTTACATGCTTTCTAGTTAGCTAAAGATGACTGGGCTGCCTTGAAGACGTAAGTGTTCAGGATAAACAAAGTTCTGCTCTTATTTGGCTATTATTACCAAATGCAATGATCATAATGCAATGAAGTAAATGAGAGTTTATTGACTTTGACTACAGCTTGTACAACGTAAGTCTCATAGGAGTAGACTATGTTATTAGCAGAACTGTCACTGCTGTGACATATTTTATACTATTTAAGTTCAGTGATGTCTTAGAACATCATGTCTTCTAGTCCATCCTCCATAAACTTCTTATAAAGTGCCATAAACTTTGCCACAAATGCTTCCAGATGATAAATGACTTTGCTGCCCAGTTGCAGTCGGTGCTCATAGAAGGCTGCCATCTGTGCAACCTCTCCTTTTAGTTGCCCATCACAATTATTTAGAAGTTCCAACAAAAGGCCCTAGAAGAGAAAAATATGGCAGTTTTTAAAAGGATGAAATATTTCAAAAACAGGGAGGCATGACAGATACTATTGTTAGGCATAGCATATACTATATTCACTAGTATTACACATGGTATATGTGCAGGTATTGGGAAATTATGTTATCTGAATGTATTATGCTCTCCCCACAATTCTGTTCACGCAAATCAAGTACCCTACAATACCTTGCAAAGCTAAATTCAGTCAGCTTTGGCATTAGAAAATAGGAAACCTATCAAAGACAAGATACATTAGTGCTCTGCCGTAGGTACAAGCTCAGGAGGTGCCTTCATGCCTATTAGTACCTAAAATGCTGTATCCAAAACAAAAAGAATAAGGGGTATGCCGTGGTACCAGAAAACAAGTTGAAACTGATGGGTAGAATCTTAGATGATGTTAGAGGGTTTTAGCTGGTGAATAGCCCCATTATAAATAGAGGTAGTAAAGTGGTGTATTTTGGGAACATGCCTTAGAATCATAGAATATCAGGGTTGGAAAGGACCTCAGGAGGTCATCTAGTCCAACCCCCTGCTCAAAGCAGGACCAATCCCCAATTTTTGACCCAGATCCCTAAATAGCCCCCTCAAGAATTGAACTCTCAACCCTGGGTTTAGCAGGCCAATGCTCAAACCACTGAGCTATCTCTCCTTGTAAGCTGAACTGAACATGCTGCGAGAAGAGAAGTCCCGGAAGAACTGGTGGTGTATTAACTTTCTTTCCTGTATCATACTGTTTTGTTTGTAGGTAATAAATTGCCTGAGCCTGGTTGTTTGATCTTGAACATTTTTAATACTGAACCACAACTGTAACCAAAATCAATTGGCTATGCTATTCAACACCATCATTTTCCCAGAAATAGCTGAGCAAGTAACATCATGATTTTGAACTCACTCAGTGATCCAGCAGAGCAGAAGTTTTCAAGAGCTATCACATCATTTATCCAATAGAACTAACTTTGAATTCTATAAACACTTGTGGAACATTGTCTTTTCAGAAACTTCTCTCTCAGGATAAATTCCTCATCCTGTAAAATCAGGTGACACAATGGTGCAACTGAACAATTTCTGCCTCACTAACAACAATAGATTAATAAACTGATTGTGCACAACCCCTACTAATGTCATTGCGAACTGCAAGTAAGTGTATAGCCTTGAGGATTCTTCATTTGACAAGGGAAGTGAATCTCAATAGCATTAATCAGGAATGGATGTAAATAAGCTCATCCCAACAGAATGACTTATTTTAAAAAAAACAAATCCATGAGAGAGACTACTGCAATACTTCACCTCAAAAATGACAAAGGTCTTAATATTAAAATTTTATATTTGAGGAAGAAGGGGATAAAGCTATTGCAGAAGCAGCTCTAATGCAATAAAAAGTGTAAGAGACAAGGTCAGTGAGCACCAACACGGCTACAACTGGACAGCATACAAAGAGTTTAAGTTAGTTAAGCACTTAAGGACACTGCCAAATATTGGTGCCTTCAAACATGTTAGTAACAAGTATTTGAATTTATCTTTAAGACAGAGAGCACTTGCACAGCAAGACAACTGAAGCTCTCAATGGCATCAACCCACAATAGAGCAAAAAGGACAAGGAAAAAGCATAACTGAACAGAATGTGTCAGGAACACGAGTCAGTTGACATGTCAAGGATTTTACCATAATTTAATCAGAGCTGTGTTTTGTCAATATAAATAGAGGTTAATGCTGTTGTTACATTTTCCCAATATTATCTTTAATCTCAACTCTGCCCTCATTTCCTCCAGTATCCTTTCATGCTGACTACACTCCACACCTCCTGCCTGGTTGCTCCATTTGTTTCCATCTCCCATAGCAACTTCTATGCTTGAATCACTGTCCCTTTCTTAAAATGTCATACTTCCTTCATGAGGCCTTTCGATACCATTTACACTTACAAAAAAGCACTGACTCTTGAAGTTGACTCCCAACCTGTGTATCACATCTGTTTAGATGTAATGTCTGCCTCTATTTTAGACTGCAAGCTCTTCGGATGCAGGGACTATGTCTTCCACTATGTTTTCTCAGCTCTGAGCATACCGTTGGTACTCAAAGAATGATCTTGTTTTAATAAGATATTACCTCCCTTTTTCCCAATAAATAATGCACCTTGTCTCCCATTTCAGTCTTGCACCTTTGCTATTTCAGGCAACCATCCATGTACCGTACAGGCTGGGACGCTATCCTCCAGGGCAAGTCCAGGTGTTTCAGTGCTGACCCTGTAGGTGTTCCACAATCTTTTTTGCGAGCAGGTGGCTGCCACCTCTAAAATGCTGTGGCAAGAACACTATGAATTATGGAACTTCCCCAATAACACCCCATAATCAATAGCATATCAGCCACCAGCAATTCAAAAAACATGGGGATGCCTTCTAGCATGCAATTATCAGGTAGAGTAGAAGAGTCCTGTATTTTTTGTTGTGTTCAGTTGAGCAAAATGCAGATTATCTAGTAAACTAAGTAGACACTCTTAGCATTCCAAATTAGTCCAGCTTTAAACCCACTTATCCAGTCCCCAAAACTTGGATAATTCAATCTAACAAAGGCAATCAAGCTGTCACTGGCTTTGGCACACAGATATTATGCAACTAAAAACATTTGTTAAATAAACGGATTTGAACTAGATAGAGTAGCAAAGACTTCTGGCTCACAGACAATCTGATCTGTGTCTTGTAAAAGCTGGACCTTATTGTTAATGTTGAATTATTTAGATTACAGTTGAACCATGCCTTGTGCTAGATATTTTCCAAAACAAAGAAGAAAACAAAATTTCCTGCCCTCAGGAGCATACAATCTTGTGCCCTGATCTTGCAAACACTTGTGCACATGCTTAACTTTAAGCACTTGAGCTGTCCCTTTGAAGATCCTGAAAACTGTTTTTAAAAAATGTAATTTTAATCCTTTTGCCCCAAGTTTGGATTCTCCTAGCTCTGGCTGAGGTGAACAAAGTAAGTACTGACGAATTAAATTACCTTCATTATTATCTCAGGAGGAATGCAGTGGGTTAAGAGTTCATAAAGCCGTCCACGAACTTCAAGTAACCTGTTGGAATGAAATCATGAAGTGTTACAATAATGTCCACAAAGCCTATTTTATATTTCTAAAAAACATTTGCTCTGTTATTAGACAATGTTATTGAAACCCCAGACATGGACTGCCAAGCATAATTAAGTTCCCTTAGCCTGAAGCCTTCCTCTAATATTAATCAACCTGCAGTACTCCCACGATGTAAAGTCAGTCTCAATATGCATGTTACATAACTCAGAAGTGGGGAGGGGGTTAATAAAAAAGTTTTGGACAGTAGTTATGATATGCTCAGGATGAATCTGGAAGATACAAGGCTCCAGAACAAGCTGTTCTTGGCGCCCCCCCCCACACTTTTTTTTTTTTTTTTTTTTTTAACTCTTAGTGTGACTTTTGTCCAAGTTCAATGAGAAGTTGCCACAAAATGATTAGAAATCAGGATTCATTTTTATGTTGCTGGTTTACACCTTTCAGTCATCTTGCCCACATAACTGAAGAATCGCCAGTGATAAATTCCCACCAAATTCACCTCTGGCAATAACTGTCTCTTGATAGCCACTTTGTCTCATCTTATCTGAAGTCTGATACCCAGAAATGCTAGCACTTACTGTAGGTGATTACTGTTTTTTCCCCATCTCTAGATCATACAGCAATGACACAGATCACAGAAAAAAAAATCTACATTACAAAAGGAAGATAATTTGCAAAGAGGAATGTGAATAGGTAGAGGAAATAACAGAATAAGCTTGTCCTTTACAAAGAAAATTTATTAGGGACAATTTGATCTTACAGCAGTTACCGTGCCTTGGCATCTGTTATTTTTACCGTTATGTCACTTATGTGTGTTCTCAGCCTTGTGAATTGTTTTTTGTTGTTTTTTTTTTAAATATAGTTGTGACTCCATTCCAATTACTGTCGATATCTAACTTATGAGTCAGACTCTTAGTGACAACACAAGAGCTTTCTTCCTTAAAAATTACACCTAAAAAAATAAAAGGATTCTTCGCCGAAGATTTGAGGGAGGGCTTGGAGGAAGTTATCCTTTGGTCTCTATATTCCAACAACTTATTGATGTGAATTTTTAAAAATAAATAAATAAATACACAGATAAAACGGAATACATTAATTTAGGCAAGTTAAATGAGGTGCAGGGAGAAGGCTAGGCACTTGAGTTTAAATAGAATCATAGGGAGCATGCCTCCCATTAGGGCTTCAAAATAGTGCAATTCTATTTCTGCCAGCACTATATATTTAAAAAATGGGCAACTGTTTCCAGTGACCATAAATGCACCAGAGCAACAGAGAACTAGTGCCAACGCTACTGCTCTTCACAGCTAAAGAGGGAAGTTTCATAGTACTATGGAAAAAGAACAACCACATCCATCAGCTTCAGCTGGAAATAGCAGTGCTGTGAACAAGCCAGTTTGTTACCTGATACTGTACAATGTTACAAAGAGCTGTTCAGCAACTAAAAATCACATCTACCATGCTGCCTCACTAGGACAGACGCACACACACATTGAAATTATTCTAGATCCAGCAAAACCAAAAATAAGTATCTACAATTCCATTATTCAACTCATTTCTTCTGTGATCCCCAGTGAGTCAATACTATTTTAAAAAAAAACTTTAACTGCATGAATCCAACTGAAAGGGAGCCGCAAAGGAGCCAGTTACCAGTTTTTGTTATTGTGCTTGCTGATGGGTTCATTAATATGTCTGTTGTTGATGGATTTCACTATGTATGCTAGGTTACTACGCAAGCCAGAGTACTGAAGATAATGTTCAAAAATCATCATCATTTGGCTGTCACTCATTTGGTACAAACTACAGAAAGTGATCCAGGGGATGATGCAGCCCAAATTAGAGACATCCTGAAGAAGATTAAGATACGAAAATTTGTGGACGCATTGCATTTAGTGATAGATTTAATTGCCAGGGTAACTGAAGTGTTACATTTCTACTTTGTAAAAAAGTAAAAAATTATATGCTGGAACTCTCAGCAACAAAAGACAATCCTTGTTCCTTATGTCTAAAGAAAAACTTGCCTTAGAGATGACAGATTTGAAGTAGTACATATTTTGGGGTCTTTACAGACAATGCAGCAGAAAAATCAGATCTATATGCTAGAAACTGCCATTTAATAGATCAGTGCCAGATTCCCCAGGCTATATGGCCTCCACCATTCATATGGTTTCAATGCTTTGACGCCACTCAATGGCTTGATGAAAGAAAAAGAACTGGCTCATTATTGCAATGTACAAGTTTAAATCTTCTAAATAACTTTACACAGGCATTGAGACAAAAGGGAAAAAGGAGAGTACCCTGTATCAGTGACTGCATCTAAAATGTCATATCAGAATCAAATCCACAATAGTAGTACAGGTATATGATCAAAAAATCTTTTAGCTACCAGGTCTTCCAGGATATATTGCAGTTAGTGGAAATATTGTCATTGTCCTACAACACTGCAGTTGTAGAATATGGGTTTTACCCACCAACTTAATTAAAACAAGCCCAAAGAAGTAAAGCACACTCCAGAACTTTATGCATGTGTTAATGGCTCTAGTAAAGATGCTTTCTTGTGCCATCATGATACTATCTATTGACTTGAAGGGAGACTAGGGACAAAACATTCATAAACAAAGCAACATTAGGCAGCACTAGATGTTTTCAGACTGCTGGTGGTAGTGGCATTTTAACGTATACTAAGCAGAGGACAAACTGAATGGAGCATAAGACCAAGCGAGGGTCAGAACAATTTGAAACACTGGCACAATAATCCAAAACAGAATAAGGAAAATACAGAGAAATTATGTTAGACAATCACAGTAGCAACAGTGTTTTATTTCACTTTAACTAAGAAATGAGACAACATCCAGAAACTAGGACAACTTTATTGTCTAACTCAATTTTGAAGTCTTTTATGTCTGTGGGCAAATTATCAGAATACTTTTCCCCAAAACTTCCATATACTTTTGGCTACAAAGCTCAGTCATGATTTAAATTTCATGAGGTAAATAACTTTTAGCTTGTTTACCACTTTATCATTTAGAGCAAAACAGACCAGAACTGGCTTCCAAATTCAGACTAGTGCTACCGAACTCCAGGGTACCTGGTCTGTGTTTATAATGAATATATAAATTCAGCACAATCACATCATAACTGTGTGTCCTGCTTATTTATTTTGTGACAGAGGCTAACTTTATTAGTTTCTGAAATCCAATCTACCCACCTCCGTAGGCTTTAAACCCATTTCCTTTGGATGCAAAGCAGAGGCATTCCAGTACAAAGCTATTAAAATGCCATAAAACATTTAATATAAAACACTTCTTACGCTCAGAAGTACTCTGATACCCTAATAATTTACAGTCAGAACCAAATAGCTCCACCTACCTCTGGGGAGTCTGCTGACTGACAATAGCATTTGCAGTCTCTCTCAGATATATCTCCCAGTCTGTCTCAGGGATGTCCTGATCTGAAGTGAAAGGATACCTGCACAAGTAATCTCTCATATTTTAGTAACAAGCTTAGAGCGAATGTGTTTTTTTTTTTGTTTTGTTTTTTTTACAAAGAGTAACCTACATTAGTTTCTCCAGTGACTTACTGCTGGACTCTGCAAGCCTCACACATAAGCAGTGCCTTCCGAAGATTCCTACCAGACTTTTCTGCTAGCCTCCGAGCCAGATCCTGAGGAAGAGTTAGCCCCTCCTTCTTGCACACACTGGACAACACATGACAGATCTAGATGGGAAAAGGGTACCATGACGATATAGCTAACATATGTATTGTAGTTGTAGCTGTCAGTCCCTGGATATTAGAGAGACAAGGTGGATGAGGTCCAAGAAAAGATATTACCTCATCCATCTTGTCTCTCTTTAGTGAAACAGTTCAAAGCCCAAAGACCGTTTTCAGGCTTAAGCATCTCTAGAACAGCCACTGCTTTCTTGCAAAGGTCACCTAGGTATAAGGGAGCAGCTCCAGTTTGCCCAGTCAATGGATACTGTGCATACTGATCAAAGGCAAGTCATGGACTACAGAGACGGGTCATTTTCTGTAATATACTTTACATACACACAGTCAAAACTTGTCTGATTAAGTTTCTACTGGAGGCTCATTTTTGCTTCCAAACCTACATCTTCAATACTGGGAGCAGGCACTCGCACTGCCAGACATCTGCTTTGAATAGGTGCAATGATTTTTGAAACGGAATTGCAACACAAGATCAATCTGCAGGTGGCCATATACTTCTCCATGGTTCTTCGCAACGCATGCTGAGCATCTTTAGTAAGTTTATCAACTTCTGTCAGCAGCACCACTGCCAGAGGGAAAAAAAAAGTTTAAATTATCTTTATTAGAAGAGTTTCACAGTAAACAAAAGTAATTTTAGAAAGATAATGAAGCAAGGCGCACAGCAAGCAAGGTGCAATGTGGTCCCATGGACCACTGGGCTGGGACTCAGAAGACCTGGGTTCTATCTTCAACTGTCACTGAGATGAGGAGATACCTTGCTCAAGCCATTTCATCTTCTACATCTGTTTACCTCCTACTCTTCATCAGTCTTGCCTATTTACATTTTGCTCTCTTCAAGACAGGGACTGTAAGTGCTACTGTGATGCAAATAATCAAATTAGGTTTGAAGGCCAAGACAGTCACTGTACTGCTTATACTATAGCTAATACAGTAGCTAGCTTGTTTTCCCAAGAATTTTAAGAAAGGGTTGCAGCTGAATTTTCTGAGAACCTATGGTGTAAGGAAGTATTAAAGCAAATAGTTTATCAGTACACTCCTTTGATTACAAACTCATACTTTAATTTTAATGAGTGGGGGAGGTAGAAAACCCCTTGTGCTGAACGTAGGAGGCCCTTCCATGCACATTGCTCTCCATGTTTATCCAAAGATGTTTCAAAGTAGTTAGTGGGCATATTTTACTGGATTGTAGCAGATTGGTTAAAATTTGGTAATAGCTCAAATTTAATGTTTCCCTGAGAACGGTGAAGAAAATGGTATAGCATATCAAAAGTAGGACCACTAGTACATTATTTCTACTCTATTCTCTCATCTTTCTTGGGTTTGTCTCATTTTTCCTTTTGCGTTTATCTGGTTGTGGGGTTTCTTGGTTTTTGCGAGGAAAGCAGCTGTAGCAATTTATATTTGGAAACAGTGAAGAGGAAAATGGATATCTTTTAGATTAGCAGCCACCTTCCCTCTGTAGTTCTTCCACGTATGAAGTATTTCGGCACTGAACACTTCATACATAGTAGGACAGCATAAAGAAACTGAAAGTGACAAATATATATGAAGGACACTCAGTCCTACTTCATTTCCCTTTGCTACCAATGCCACACGAAATAGGCTGCTACTGATGGGCTGTCTATCAACCATCACACATACATCCATAATGGCCACCACTCTCTGACAAAGAAGCATGAACGGTGACCAAGTTTTGGGAAGGCTGATATGTAGCTCACAGTAACAATAAGCAAATCAAGAGCTGCATCTATGCGACGTCAACATCTTTTGCTTCAATCACAGAACTACTCTTCACTGTCAAATACAAACCAATGCCATAAAGAGAGAAATGTCTGAGGCAACTGATGAAGATACAAGGTGGAAGAGAGACATGTTTACTTCTCAAGTACATCTTCAGACCTGGTCAAAACAGTCACAGAACTTTTCTCCTCCAAAGTTTTGGCCCACATTTAACTTGTTTTACTAACCTTTAAAATCTCTTTGAGTACTTGTCTCAAGTTGTTGGGATTGTGCTACTGTCTTCAATAGCTCCTGAATTACCACACGGTCACTGTTTCCTGCATCACTGTAGAAAGAGTTCAGATAATTGATTTTGTTAGAACACTTATTTCTTTTAAAAATGCCCACACCATATCTACAGTACATTCTTTTAAGTAGCGACTCAGGCAGTTTGTTTTTTTAAAAAAAGCCTAAAATGTAGCTTTTTAAAGAAAGAAAGAACACAAGATGGACTGAGTTTAGAATTCATTTAATCTTTAATCTGTACATTAAGTGGCTATTGACAAGCTATTGTCCTAACATTTTGAAACTCATACCCTACATAGACTTGCATTTTATATGTATGTGGGGAGGGAGACCAGTTAGTAACTGCAACAAATGATGTTTGTGCCTGCATGATTTTAATGTAATGGTATGAGAAATCCGCTTTTAACATCTCTTCTTACCAACAATTTAGGCATATAAATCCAGTATTTCTTGTTTCTCAGCTTTCTAAAAGGTCATTTTGTCTTTGGCAAAAATGCTAAATCAGCCAGTTGTACACATGGCTTTCATTAAACACAAACACTGATTCCAGCATTATGAAGTCTTCCACATCATGTGGCCATGGAAAGGGCTAGAGATTTCATAAGTGGAGATCTTGTTCAAAAGAAACTGCAGGTTTAGTGTCAGCTTGAAAGTTTCTGAAGTACGCCTACTCAGCCCCCAACATTGCTTGTTTTCTTTTTATCTGAAATTGTTATAAGAAGGTAGAATCATGGAATATCAGGGTTGGAAGGGACCTCAGGAGGTCATCTAGTCCAACCCCCTGCTCAAAGCAGGACCAATCCCCAATTAAATCATCCCAGCCAGCGCTTTGTCAAGCCTTAAAAACTTCTCAGGAAGGAGATTCTACCACCTTCCTAGGTAACAGTGTTTCACCACCCTCCTAGTGAAAAAGTTTTTCCTAATATCCAACCTAAACCTTCCCCAATGCAACTTAAGACCATTACTCCTTGTCCTGTCATCTTCTACCACTGAGAATAGTCTAGAACCATCCTCTTTGGAACCACCCCTCAGGTAGTTGAAAGCAGCTATCAAATCCCCCCTCATTCTTCTCTTCTGCAGACTAAACAATCCCAGTTCCCTCAGCCTCTCCTCATAAGTCATGTGTTCCAGACCCCTAATCATTTTTGTTGCCCTTCGCTGGACTCTCTCCAATTTTTCCACATCCTTCTTGTAGTGTGGGGCCCAAAACTGGACACAGTACTCCAGATGAGGCCTCAACAATGTCGAATAGAGGGGAACGATCACGTCCCTCGATCTGCTGGCAATGCCCCTACTTATACATCCCAAAATGCCATTGGCCTTCTTGGCAACAAGGGCACACTGTTGACTCATATCCAGCTTCTCGTCCACTGTCACCCCTAGGTCCTTTTCCGCAGAACTGCTGCCTAGCCATTCGGTCCCTAGTCTGTAGCTGTGCATTGGATTCTTCCGTCCTAAGTGCAGGACCCTGCACTTATCCTTGTTGAACCTCATCAGATTTCTTTTGGCCCAATCCTCCAATTTGTCTAGGGCCCTCTGTATCCTATCCCTACCTGCCACCGTATCTACCACTCCTCCTAGTTTAGTATCATCCGCAAATTTGCTGAGAGTGCAATCCACACCATCCTCCAGATCATTTATGAAGATATTGAACAAAACCGGCCCCAGGACCGACCCCTGGGGCACTCCACTTGATACCGGCTGCCATCTAGACATGGAGCCATTGATCTCTACCCGTTGAGCCCGACAATCTAGCCAACTTTCCACCCACCTTATAGTGTATTCATCGAGCCCATACTTCTTTAACTTGCTGACAAGAATACTGTGGGAGACTATGTCAAAAGCTTTGCTAAAGTCAAGAAACAATACATCCACTGCTTTCCCTTCATCCACAGAACCAGTAATCTCATCATAGAAGGCGATTAGATTAGGTAGCCCCTTCTCTTTTTCCCCTATGTGGTGATTTGTCTCTTATAGCAGAAAATGTGGGCATGTTTATTTTCTAAATTATTTCAGTGTAACCCACACTAAGAGTGTGGCTCTCTGTACTCATCTAGCTGCTACACCACCAATAGGAGCTTATGATTCTGCTACTGGCTTCAAGCTACTGGATGCTTTTAGATTCAAAGGTCCCAAGTTCATTCACCCCCTGGAGATGTACCCTCCAGGGGTGTCATTACAAAGAGAGGGGAGACTCACAAAACGATAGGGTATAGGGGAAAAATGGATTCTCCAGCAATGGGAAGTTTATCAGTGTCACCATTGTCAAGGATGGCTATTTCAGGTATAGGACTGAAGCCAACTTTCCCCCAAAACCAAAAAACTTAGTGTGCTTACAAAAGAAAACCATGCATTCTCTGCAATGACTTTTTAGATCCTTCTGACCCCATAACTGAGCAGTTGATCCAAATGCCATACAACATTTAGTGATAAGTTCAAAGAATGTATGGATTCCCTACATCAGTGCCAAACAACAAGTGACAGAACCGATATCAAGACTAAGCAAGATGGAGTACAGAGGCTTCCCAGTGCCATATACTTTCAGTGACTCACAAATGCAATACATTTAAAAAGCATACCTCTGTGACTACAACCAATAAAAAAAGTGATATTCATTTTAAAACTAGCTTTTGCTTTGGAACTGGGGACATCCAAATTTCATAATGGAAGTTTTTCATCACATAATATGCAAGTTATGAATCAAATATGACTCCATACGATATCTTAATTTGCATGATTTGGCATTTAAGTCTGGTTTTAAGATGCTAGAATTGCTACTCCTTGAAATGATGTATGTCATCATAGATATATCAGTGGTTTGACAGCTGATGGAATGATCTGTTGTCTCAAGGTTCTTTAGCTCTTTTACGAGTATTCAGGACAAAAGGCACTTTCAATGAGAAAAATCTTATGTTCTAACAGGTTTAGTACCAGTAGGCTTCATCAATACCTCATATAGAAAATTTAGTGCAGGAATACAAAAGTTAACTTATGTTTCAGTTTTCTAAGGTTCTCAGTGATTAAGCTACAATTATTTTAATACAGGTACCTCTCTGCTATAATAAAGTGTCTGGTTAATAATTTCATGGGTGAAGGAGTAGGCTAAGCTTGATGTTATTTTACTGTTTCAGACATTTCAGTGCGAAGATGGTTAGGCAAAGCAGAGTTATAATTTAAGTGTATGTACTGTTTTCTCCTTCTCCATCCAGGGGACTCCATTTAAGAGCATCTGCCCATGGCAAGTTAAGTAACCAGCAGGCAATGCCCTGAGTGTCACAGATGAAATCTGTATAACAGTTTGGAGGAAATAAAACTGCTTTGTTTAACAAACGTTTATAATAGATTTAATACCTGTATGTTTCCACCCCCTTCCTTTAAGTTCATTTTCTCTCTGTTGACCTTTTACTGTGCTCCATATTACTTAAATGTACCAGACTACTTCCCTGAACATGGAGTGATAATTCAATCAGAATTCTATACGCTGTACTGATACTGACATTCATGAACATTAGTAGAACACAGATTTATATGCTGTTTGTTCAGTAACATACACATAGAAAGATACAGATGGCCAATTCAAGACCTAATTATTCAAACTGTTAGGTTTTAGCTCCGATCAATAAAGCACAATGGTAAACAACATTGATACTAACCAAAAAACATTAAAGTAGGCACTGGTATTGTATACATTTAATAGGTAGTCTACATTTTAGGATATTTGCATTTGGAGTAGAATATTTAAATTCGTATATCTACAAGTAGTTTCTAAAACATTAGGAGAAAGTCAACTTATTTGATCAGAAGTCCTGTGGCCTGTGTTATACAGGAGTTCAGACTAGATGATCACAATCCTCCTTCTGACTATATAATCATGAATCTATGAATCAGCAATATCATCAGAGAAACACTAAAATTCTCTGTATTTTAGACCAGAAACACACTTGAGCTTTTTTTTTTTTACTACAAAATACTTTGTATACCATGCTTACTTTTAACTTTAGTTTTTGCATTCTTATTAAAGGAGGAACAAAACAAAACAAAAATCATTCAGGGCCATGTTTTCAAAATTGTCTTAACTTGACCTCTGAATTTGCAGATCCACCTATCTGTAAGACCCAGCACTCACATTTGTATGCACAATCTGCTGGTAAGACAGCAAACTACTCGATTAACATAGGAAATCCAAGTTTTTCATCATCCAAAATCATGTATTTCAAAAACCTGGTCTGCACATTTAGGGCCTAAACCTCCAAACAAAAGTTTTTTTTTAAACAAACTACTTGCTTGAGTAAGAGGTTGAATCCTTAGAAGTCAAGGCTTTTTGAAAATGTGGTCATTCAAGTACAATATCTAAATTAAATATCCTTTTTATTATTAACTTACCTTGGGTTAACTTCAAGATGATAATTGCTTGCAATGGTGCTAATTTCAATTTTCTTTTTAGAGGGTGTCTGTGTAGAAAATAAAAAAGTTAGATTTCAAAGCATCTTATTTTAATATTAAAAAAAGTCAATTTTTGGATTTGAAGAATTATAATTGGCAGATTTGGTAGCCTGACAGCAGCATTATGGCAAAAGACCTGGATTTGGGGTTAGGTTCGTACATCTTTCTCCCCACGTGAGTGGAGGTCAGGAGTATTGGGATGTGGTTAAACCTCAAAAAAGATAACGATGGCTGTTTACTACAAGAGTTGATCTACTATCAGAATTAATAGAGATTCTGGACATGATAATGTGCTGTCTCTTTCAAACAATCATTTTAGAGAAATAGTTTGCAGACATCAGGAAGGTTTCCTCTCAATGATTTTTTGGAGGGAAGTGGGGGGACATGGGAGGAAGTCCCTTTATCACAGTATGTAATTACAAATCTGTTATTGATGTAATTTATAAGAACATTTATGTTGCCTCTGAATTTGGATCCAAACTGGTATATTTCTACCACTAACAGGATATGTTCTCACTATGTCCAGAACAGTGTTTAAGTGTATTTCTTCCTATTATGGTGACAATGAATCTCCTCCAATTCAAGTGACTTATCAGAAATTTTTTCTAGGACTAATTAGATGGGGTTTTTTTCCCTATAAACATCATAATCTGTTTCTCTTTTCTAGCTGAGTCACAAGGAAGTAGTACAGTTGATGCGCCTATCCTCACACCAATACCCAGAACATTCTACTAGTTTGTTTCCACTGTCATATGCCTGTTCTAACACAGAAGGAAATGACTAGTCAAGCAAGGATACTATAGGTGTAATCGTTACTAAATTATTTCCTTTAAGTAACAGCAATGAAAAAGAAAAACTACCTTATAATAAGATGTTAGAATCAGTGATAATGCTCTACCTACCATATCAAATATGATATTCAGACCACTGCTGAAGGAATTAAAAAGTAATAACGGGAGAAATTCTATTGACCATACTATGAAATTTTAGTGTTCCTCTGACGATTTTGCTGATTCATACATTCATTATGTAGTCAAGACGACTGTGATCATCTAGTCTGACCTTCTGTATAACACAGGCCATAGTCTCTGAATTAATTCCTGTTTGAATGTTTTTCTAAAAGACATGCTCTAGAGTTCACTCTTGATCTAAAATTTGCCAGTGGTGAAGAATCCACAACAACCATTGGTAAGTTGTTCCCATGATGAATTACCCTCATTGTTAAACATTTGTGCCTTATTTCTAGTCTGAACTTTTCTAGCTTCAATTTCCAGCCAATGGATCTTGTTATACGTTTGTCTGCTAGATTAACAAGATCTTTATTATCAAATATCTGTTTCCCAAGTAAGTACTTAGACTGATCCAGTCACCCTTTAAAACCCCTTCCCAATAAGGACTTTTAATTGATAACACAGCATCTTAAACAATAGATTTCAAGTGGCTGCCTTGTTCCCCAGGCAGCTAATTACTGAAACAAATCTCTTCTCCTATTGAAATTGTCACTATGGGAATGATTAGATAACAAATTATCACAAACATAAATGGGAGAAAGATAACGTTAATGGTTTATAAGTAAGGGCCACAACATAGATGAACTGAATTCTATCAATTGAAAGTTAGTTTAAATTTGAGTTAACATGAAGCAAAATTCAAGCGCTGGGCCCAATTCTGATCTCAAATACACGAGTACATTCAAAGTAATGCCAATAAAAGGAACATGAAAGAAATCAACCTCAGAATCTGGTCCTCAGTACTTAATGCTAAGGACATACCCTGCAGTGCAGCCTGGCCACAAAGTGCAAATGTGAGGGAGACTGACAAACTAAAATTCACTTGGTCAGAGGAAAATGTTCAAGTGACCAATTTTTTCAAGTGAGCTTGAACTTTCTACCGAGGTGAAGAAATATGAACATTTTTGGATTTTATTGACTTTCTTTTTGCTATTGTGGACTTCTCTATAGGAATACATACTCAGCATGTTAGTATATAAAAGAGAGGATGTATATATACACAATTACTTTCTTTAAAAAATGCACATGATAAATGTCTTACTGTTATGCTCTGATGTTCAATTCTCAGTTTCTCCACTCCTGCACCATAGAGCTCTCTTAACAAACACATTATCCTGGTCTTTTTTCCAGCTCCGGATGGTCCATACACTAACAGATGAGGGAAGTCACCACACTGAACCTGCAAACAGTGCAATAAAACTAATTATAGTAATGTTTCCCCTATGTTAGGAAATTAACAAACTGCATCAGATGAGGACTTTGCTTACAACATTACTATTAAATAATTTTTCATATACAATTCTACAGTACTTCAGTTTAAAATATAACCCAGAATTAGTGGCTCCTTGAATTTCTTTCTTCCAGGTACACTTCCATCATATATGCTGTGTGCCTCTGAAAATTAAAAATGATGTTTTGTTTTGGTTTTTTTGAGAAAGAGTTTGAAGTACTTTCAGGTATTATATTTGCTCCTGAGACTCCTGCCAATTTTTGTGGTTACACAATCACTTTCATCTTTTTAAAAAAATGTTTCTGTCGTGCTTGTTGCTAAGTGAAAAGCTCTCACAAATGGGAAACAGACTGACACAGGGAAACAGTAAAATTATCCACAAAATAAACTAATAGAGAAAACTATGTCTCTGCTCTCTTTCAGCTACAATATACTATGAGTATTACTTGTAATATAAAGATATTCAAACAAAAGCATAATTTTTAAGTTGAGTGTCTCTTTACAACGAAAAAACCAGTTTTTGTTTCTGAGAGCGCCAGTAGTCAGTTTTAAAAATATATTTCACTAATATCTACCTTCAAAGTTAGTTTTAGTTAGATATACCAAGCACAGAATGCAAAGAGTGAATCTAGTAGTTAGACAATCTGGATAATACTCAGGACATCTGGGGGCTTGAACATACATTCAGTTTTGTATCCATGGGTTTTATTCCCATCTTTGACCTTAATCCCTGTGACCCTGACCAAGTCATTTATGATCTGATGGTTTCAGAAGTGCTGGACACCAAGAGCTTCCGTAGATGTCAATGGATGATGTGGGTGCTCTGCATTTCTGAAAATCATACTAATAAATCTCTTTGTGCCTCTTTCCTCCCCCATCTGCTTAATGGTAATAGTGATGGTGTGAGGCTTAATTCAATAACACATGTAAAATGCTTGCAAACCTTTGCATGGAGTGCATTCTAAAGAAGAGAAATGTTTTTTTCCCCTACACATCAGGGCTTGTCTTCACTGCAAGTTAGTTTGAGTTAGTCCATATGAGTTGCTAGTCTAACTCAAGTGAGGGTATGTCTACAGTACTACAGAGCCTATGTCAGCATAGGTATGCCGACACAGCCCCGTGCTGTAGATGCAGCCTACACCTACAGGAGTAGGTCAGTGTAAGAACATCACCTCCATGAACAATGTTATGTATGTTGAGAAAAACCCCTCTTCCATCAACATAGCTAAACTGGAGGTTTTGTTGGCATAGCTATGTTTGTCAGGGTATGGGTATTTTTTCCCTATCTCAGACCAATGTAGCTATGCTGACGTAACTTAAGTGCAGACCAAGCCTGAGAATGACGACACTGTGAAACAACATTCAAACACCCAGAGCAATTTGATCAGCAAAATGGTGACTGGATTAGCAGCTTCATTGGATAAACATCTGATGAGTTGTAACTCACTGCTCATCCCCACTGCACTACTAAAGCACAGGAACATCAAACACCATCCCCATCCCATCCCACCCACATCAGACAAGCCAGTTAGAACTCAAGCTAGAGAGATGTGTGTGTAGAAAGAAAGTTGGGCAAAACTTCAGTTGTACCTTGAGCTAACACTGCTGTGAAGACACCACACCAAGGTGCCATCCTGGGTCAAAGAACAGGTGTCATTTTAAATCTGGCTATCAGCTGTTACAATTAATTGTTTGTAAAGCACACTGAAGATTAAAAGAGTTCTGTTTATTGTTTGTGGCAGGGATTAAATGGTCATAATGAGAGCCAGGAAAGTACTATTTGGACTGTTCGCAAATGATTTCCTCATTATCAGTTTTCATATTGGGATAAACATTTCCAATAGGGTGACTGTATTACAGTGCACAGTTTCTTCCCAACCAGACTTATCTTTATTCAGATATTGCACTTTTCATTTTGTATTAGCAAAAAAACCGAGGAGTACTTGTGGCACCTTAGAGACTAACACATTTATTGTTATTTGTATTGTAACAGAAGTAAATATACAGCAGTGAAGAGCAGGCAAGTCTGATGTCAACATCCTGCTACCTGAGACAGACCTAACACACAGTTCCAATGAAGTGGGCTGTAGCTCACGAAAGCTCATGCTCAAATAAATTGGTTAGTCTCGAAGGTGCCACAAGTCCTCCTTTTCTTTTTGCGAATACAGACTAACAGGGCTGCTACTCTGAAACGTAACACAAACTGTAGCTCTTACCCCTTGCTTTAATAAAACAAAGTCACATGCACAAAGAGAGTTTGCAAAACTTCATCTCCTTATTCGCCTCCCTAAGCAAAGCAAGCAGGAACTCAGCACCAATAACTAGAGGGCAGAGTCTGCTCGGTTGGCAGCTGTGCGTGACTGGGAACAGCATCAGACTCTAAGCCAGCACTTAGGGGACAGCAGAGGCGCCTGGCCCAGCCCCAGGAGACGCGTAACACGGCTACCGCGGGGCATGTGTTGGTTTAAAGAGCGCGCCCCCTGCTGCCCCAAGGGGATGGGGGCGGTTCCCGTGCCATGCTGAGAGATTTGGGGAGGGGGCCGGAGGGGGGTCCCAGGGGGAGACGGGGCTAGCAGGGAGGCAGTGGTCCTCGCGGATGGGAGATGGGCCGCGGTCCTGAGGAGGGGTTTCCAGAGGAGGGTCGCAGGGGCTGCCCCCGCGCGGCCCGGAGGTGAGGGGGGCGGAGGGGCGGGTCCCTCACCAGGTTGCGGAGCTGGGCCGCCTGCTCGCGGTGATAATCCACCCTACCGAGGGCGCAGGGCCGGTACTTGTCCGCCCAGAGACTCATCGCTGCGAGGCCCAGGCAGAGCGGAGTTGAAAAGCGCGCGCCGCCCCGGCTCTCCCGCGCCCCTCAAGCCCCGCCGAGAACAGCCGCCCCACTACGGAAGCCGCCTCGGGACAGACCTAACCGACATGCGGAGCGGACGGAACGCACCCAGGCAGGCCGCGAGGGCGGGGTAGGGGAGGAGAGCGAAGGCGCCGGGGGCTCGGAACCGCCCCGCCCAGGCTGGGGAGGGGCAGATCGCTCCGTGCCCAGGGCGCGGCCTTTCCCTCAGGGGGACCCCGCACCACAGCGCAGAACACGCCCCCCTCCCCCCGCCGCCGGGCATCTCACAGCACCGTGAGCCCCCGCCCGGGCCAGTGTCCTCGTGCCGCGAGAGCGCAGCGCCCTGAGCCACCGCAGCGGCCTGCGGCCGCTGCCTCCCGCCGCCCAGCCTGCCTGCCGCCTGCGCCTTGTCCCGCCCTCTGCAACGCAGCACCATTTCCTGCAGCGCGCGGGCAGGCCAAGGTGTGCAGCGCCGCTCTGTGACACTCCCCTTGGCATAGCGTGCCAGTGCCGTGGCATCTCCTCTCCCCCCGACCGCTGTGCAACACTGTGCCTCCTAACACACCTAATGCCCCAGCCCCCCTTGCCCCACAATGTGACAGATTGCAGCGCTTCAGCGCAACACCACAGCCTGGCACGCTGCACAACATGCTGCAGCTCCAAAACAGTGCCTCCGCATCACAGCTGCAAAACCCCTGCGAACCAGTGCCCTGCCCCACTACCACAGCACTGATGGCAGCTCCACCTGGATCTAGCACTCTGCCGGTATCAGGAAATGTTCTCACTCATCCATAAAGTGGTCAATGAATCTCTTACCATTATTCACAATTGATTTCCATCTCTGGGTAAATTCAAGTCATTCCCATGTAACACTATTTTAAAAAATCATCTCCATTTTCTGTGCATTATATACTTTATTTGTTTTGTGCTGGAAAAATTAAGAGCACAAAATCCACTTGAAGCACCAAGTACTGAGAATACTTGTGCACCCACCATCTTTGGAATTAAGTACTTTCCTGTGGTTTTGAACTGCTTCACAATTTCATATGTGGCTGTTATTCTCATTAGTTGTATGCAGTGTAGTTGTAGCTGTGTCTGTCCCAGGATATGAGAGAGACAAGGTGGATGAGCTAATATCTTTTATTAGACCAGACCAATATTACCTGGCCCACTTTCCAGTACATCACATCTTCAAAGTGCTGCAATCTACACAACCACCCAAATCACTACCTTAGTTATCTAAGGTTTCAGAGGAACAGCCGTGTTAGTCTGTATTCGCAAAAAGAAAAGGAGTACTTGTGGCACCTTAGAGACTAACCAATTGGTTAGTCTCTAAGGTGCCACAAGTACTCCTTTTCTTTTTAGTTATCTAAGTGTTCCTCCAAGGCTATCTAAATTAAGTGGGGGCAGGGATTGTTTGGATTGGTCAGTAATATAGTTTTATCCATCTAAAATAGTTACGTCTATCATATTTATTCTAGAATCTGTTTTAGTTGCGTAGTTTGCTATGAATTAGAAAATTCACCCTGCACTGCTTTTCTGCATTGTCACTACGCAAGTCTGAGCTTGTGGAGACAGATGCATCAGTATCCTGTACAGTGCTTCACTCTTCGGTCTCTTTAGTTATGCACAGCGCTCCAAAGTAACCTATTTTGTGCCAGGTTTGCATTTTTGGTTCAGCAGTTATTCTCACATGTGGGCGCTATCACACATCACTACCTGCTGCTTTTTTACCAAGCTCCATTATGATTTGGCTTTGCATTTTTGTTTTGCTTATGCACTTTTCTTGGACAGCAGTATTTATGAGTGATCTCTTAAAGCTCTTTCAGAGCCCTTTGATCAGTTACCTGACTTTTTAATAATTTCTAAGTGATGTGCCATTTCTCTTGCATCTGTCAGTGTAATGGCAGATTTATAATTGCAGATTCTGTAATAATTCCTCATCGGAAATGCCAGTTAGTGTTGTCACAAATCTATTCATTTTTCCCAGCGCAAAGAATCTATTCATTTTTCCCAGCGCAAAGATACTGTTTTTTGTTAACTCATGTCAGCTAACAACTACTTTGACAGATTCCACAGGCTTCAGAAAGTACTAATGAAAACAAAACCTTTATGAATGAGGTTAGTCTTAAGTATCTAGGGCTCAATCCTGGGAGATAATGTGTCCTATGTGGGAGGTGCTGTGTGCGCTTGATGACCACTGAAATCAAGGAGAACTGAAGAGATTCAGCAGCTCTCAGCACCTTGCGGGATCAGATCATTATCAAATTTCTTTAGGACTATATTAAAGTCTTTCCTAAGAAGAAGATGATGGCATTCATACCCTGATTCAGCAAAGCACTTAATAATGTACTTAATTTTAAGCATGTGCTTAAGTCTGTGATGAGTTACACAAACCCCACACTGGAGTGGAAGGGGTTAAAGGACTATACTGGGCCAGCCAGCCCCACCCCTCCAACCCTGCAGAGCATGCTCAACTGGAGACAGGGTTGAAAAGGAAGCAAGCAGCCCTGATCAGAAGGAGGAGGGTGGGGAGGAGTGCAGACTTATCCTGAAAGGCTCCTGTCAGAAGAGGCTAGAGAAGAATCCTTGAAGGAACAAAACTGTATGCAGAGCTCAGTGGTGGACAGTTTGGTTTCCTTTTTCTTTATCTGTGACCAGAAGCGGAGGGAGAAAAGCAGTGGTAGGAAGTGACCCAGGAAAGGTAGCTCAGAGCCCACCCCTAGGCCAAACACCGCTGACCCTCCAAGGGTCCTGGGTCAGAGCCCAGTGAAGTGGGTGGACCCAGGCTCCCCTATCACTGCCTCATAACTAAGTGGACACTAACCACTAGGCCCCTTGGCCCACTGAGAACCCTATTACAAAGTCCATCCTTCTTTTGCAAAGCAGTTAAGCATAGGCTTGAAGTTGTAGACCTTGGATAAACAATGCAAGGAGAAGTAAGGAATTAGAGGTTAACAGTGGACAAAGAATGAACTCATAAATGGCCTTGTAAATAACTAGGATTACCAACCCTCCTGGTTTGATCAGGAGTCTCCCAGAATTGGACTCTTATCTCCCAGAGGCTACTGAAGCCAAACCGGGAGATTTTAGACTGCTAAAAGTCTGGCAGTACAGCGGGGCTAAGGCAGGCAGGAAGCCTGCCTTAGCCCCGCTGCACCGCCGACCAGGAGCCACCCGAGGTAAGCGCTGCCTGGCCGGAGCCTGCACCCCGACCCCCTCCTACACCGCAGCCCCCTGCCTCAGCCCTGAGCCCCCTCCAGCACCCAAATTCCCTTCCAGAGCTTACCCCCTGCACCCCCTCCTGCACTCCAACCCCCTGCCCCAGGCTCAGCCCGGAGCCCTCTCACACGCTCTGAACCCCTTGGCCGCAGCCCAGAGCCTGCACATCCCAACCTCCTGCCCTAGCCCAGTGAAAGTGAGTGAGAGTGGGGGAGAGCAAGCGATGGAGTGAGTGGGGCAGGGTCTTGGAGAAGGGACTGGGTGGGAGCAGGGCCTTGGGGAAGGGGCGGGGCAAGGTGTTTGGATTTGTGTGATTAAACAGTTGGCAACCCTATAAATAACATGTAGTTAATAGATAATGAAATAGTAAGAAGAGTGATGTGTGATAAGCTTGCACGTGGAGCTTTGCTTACTAACATACTTTGCAGCTCGTGGACAGTTCATTATCTGTACAGGGATTGATTATAAAAATTAGTAGACCAGTGTTAGCCGACGGCCAAGGATGTTTGGTGAGGTGCCAGCTATGCCCGTTTATACCATCCGTGACTTTAACCGCTAGGACGCACTGTCCCTTCGCGGCGGGCAGCCCGGGCTAGGCTGACGGATGCCCCAAGGTCCTAACCACCCGTGACTTTAACTGCTAGAGCTCAGAGCTCCTTCGCAGCGGGCAGTCAATACTGACTGATAGGTGCCCCAATGGCAGCACTAAGAGCCTCTCCACACCCGTGACTTTAACTGCTAGAGCTCAGAGCTCCTTCGCAGCGGGCAGCCAGGATTGACTGACAGGTGCCCCAAGAGTTTGCCCCATGGAGGCGGCACAACTCAACGCTAGGCTCTTAGTACTCTCACCTAATGGCCAGGCTTTAGAGCCAAAACGGCTGAGGTTCTTTAATTGTGTTGGCTGCTTTACAGTAAACCAGAGAAAACAAGTCAGGCTTATGCACAAATGGTTACCAAAATTTATTAAGCTAGATTCTAATCATGTGGTTACAAAATTGCTAGTGCCTACTTATTTAAATGTAGAGATGTTACACACACAAACAAGTTACAAAACTGAAGCCACAATCCCAAAGAAAGAAAACAAAGTATAGAGCTCTATTTCAAAATATGTGTACACTAAAGATAGGAGATCAGGTGTGGGTGCTTCTTACCCTCCTTGCATCTCTCGATTCCAGCGGTGCCAAGCCAGGATCGGTCACTCAATTCCACGGAAAGACGAATAAGGGACAAGGCGTAGGGACCCTCTTAGCTGCAGAAGCCTTGGGAGGCTGTCACTTATCTGACCAGCAGATAGATAGTGAAAAGCACTCAAAAATCATGGTGCTGTAGGTCCCCTACTTATACCTCTGTACTCCTTTATTCTCTTTCTCCTTTCTTATGCCAAATTGAGGCTGGTCTGTCTGGGTGACGCCAGCTTTCGCAAGAGTAGTTTACACTTGCAAGGGAGAGAAACAATAAGTTTCGTCTACTAGACATTTCTTTTATCAGGGTAAATATTTTCCCACCTAGGATGTTGGTGTGTGTGCATCACGCTATTTAGTAGGGGCTAAGAGCCATGTCTGTCACAGGGCCTCTGCCTGCTGTGAGCTTAATCCTTGTATCTGTTCCCAGAGGCACATTGTAGCAGCACACCTGTGCTTTTCACAGCTTCAAAGGCTGTGCTGGAATATATGTTAAGTGCCCTGTTCCGGCTTTCTTCTGTGTTTCCAGCAATGCTGGTCTGAGGGGTGGGGGGGGGCTGGCTGTCTGGCTACAGACCAGTCATAAATAGTATTAAGTGTAAGCGTGTACATAAGCTGATTCATGACTGTGTACATTGGATGTGTGGAATATCCTGTACTCATCCCCTACACTTGAGCCTGATCAATTGAAGTGT